TAAGGACTGAATTAAGCACAGGCTCAGACCTGGATGTTCAATTTAAAACTTTTATTGTTTCACAAGGTCATAAACTAAGGAGGTCTGTTGGTTCACGAGGTTCCCAAATCAGGCCCTTGCTTTCTAACCCGAAGGCTAGGTGCGGCTGCCCGATTCAGTAGTCTCAGAACTGGTCAACAGCTCAGGTAAAAGGAGTCCCTTATCTTTTTTAAGACAAAAGATGCAAAACTGTCTGCACTCTGCTCTGAGTGAGGCCTCTAACATACTTTTCCTATTACTTATATATGACAACACACATACATATGCATTTCTAATTCTTACCTCTATTGGTTACTAGTTAACCCATCTATATTATAATATTTTCCAGACTGCTTTAACGATAAGCGGTTATCTTTCATCATTGTGGTTTAGCCATGCGGTTTCCGTAGGTTGCAATAGAAGCTGTGTGCTTGCAATTTTTATCAGAATGTCAGTATTCTTATTCAAGGGTCAGATAATGATCACCAGAATGTCAACCATTGACTTCTCAACCTCCTTGAAGCATTCTGGGAGTTTTAGTGCATTGGTAATTATGCTAGGCCTTGCTTAGCATGAGCACTCTCACAGTAAGCTGCCAACTCTTTTTAATAATTCTTTTAGGATTCGTCTACAGTGGTTTTGAATAAAAGTGTTTTTCACTCGTCCTAGCATTAGTTCAGCTCCTCCAGTGGAAGTAACAGTGGGAGCACTATAAAAGAAAAAAAAGCACCAGAGTTTTAACGATCTACATCTGCTGTGAGTTGAGTCAGCAATAGCAACAGTAAAGTAAAAGGCCGGTGTAGACATGCACTAATACTGCTGTAATTATTGCTGGTGTTTAACCCAGAAAATATCACAGTAGAACACCAATAGCCAAACGCTTCACATATGTCTGCTTACTCCAAAATATTCCTTTTTGGTGGCAGATTAAAAGTTTAACAGAACAAGACGTAAGAGAATAGCTTTTGATCTGATGCGACTGAACAGAAAATGAATAGCTCAAACAAGCATGTGCCAGTGCTCAAAGTCTACATTAGTGAGTGATCAGGCTCTGAAATAGACAATTTTTTATGGTCAGAAAAGCATCAACAGTGTTTTAATGTCTATGTCTATATGATATTGTTTCAAGACAAATGAGGAAGGTGGAAAATACATTAGATTTACTGTTTGGATGTTTAAAATTAGCTTTAAGTAACAACAGTTTGTCCAGACTGTTTTCATTGAAGATATAGATACAAAGTTAAGGCTGTGGTCATAAGAAATAAGCAACCAAGTTGCAGGAAACAAGAGGGATATATTTGCACATACCAGTGATGTGCAATCAAGCCTCAGTCAGAAGACCATTTGGCTAAGTAACCAAATGACTTACCCAGTAGGATTAGCAGTCTGAGAGCTTTCTGCTATTGTGTACCTATCGGGTCCTCTGCTATTAAAAACACCAAACTAAAAAGAAGAACAAAAAATGAAAAAGCCCTCATCTCTCTCATACTTTTTTATTTTTGATATCCACTCTTATTTTGGCTTCTTCACTAGCCTGTATCTACTGAGGGATGTAGGCATTCTTCTTTTGATTTTACAATAATTTTTAGTACCTAGCCCTACCCAACATATGCATAAATGCTTCATTAGATTGGAGTCTAAAAGTATTTTAGTATTTGTTGCTTGTGCTGTACGATTAGTTCCATCATTCACGTTTCTACTTTTTCACTCAGTGACTCAAACGTTTATTTTAAAAAAAGGAAGATATTCCAAACAAAGGCACTTCCTGTTCAAACTTTTGAACCCGTGCCGCTTTGCAAGCATGTTTGCATGCCACATTTTCTGTAACTATTCAAATCAACTAAAATTCACTTGCTGGATATTCTCCATTTATATGGGAACATTCGTTTACATGAATACAGAAGGCTGTGACTACCATCATGGTGAATATTCACTCTGCAGTTTTTGCTCAATTCTAGTTCCTATTATTAAACTGAGACTGCCTCTCTAGTTTAATAGGAACAAAAAAGTCTTAAATGCTTCCATGCTTGAGAGAAAGAATTTGTTTCGGCTGAGGGCCCTTCTTCAAGGGTGTATGGTGGCCAAAGGGAATAATGTGGCTGGAATTTCCAAAAGCAGGACAGCACTGCCTTTGCTACCTCAGACTTCAGTTGTTCAAGTAAAGCAAGGGGTGATGTAGAAAAGGAGAACAATTCAGTATTATTAAAGCCTTATGCAAGAGGCTTTCTGACTTTGGTTAAGCAAAAGTGGTCCACCCTAGGAGTTAGGTTCTCGAACCACCAATTTTTTTGTTTTGTTTTTTCCTTCCTGCTTTGTTCTGTTTAATTATCCAGTCATTTTCACAGTTGAGAGTGGCTCCTGTGAGTATATTTCTAAGATGGGAAAGCAGAAACTTCAACAAGACTGGCAGCATTTGTTGTCTTTCTTCAGGCACTTCAGATTCTGATTGCAGGTACACAGTACGACTCACCAGATACCTTGATTACGTATATAGCATAATACAGGTCAGCACGTGGACATGCATGTATATGGAGAGGCATGATATTAGAGTGACTAACACAATTTAAATACAGGCCACATCATTACCTCATCATCTTGCATCACATATTTGCCAAAATTCTCTTCCTTATATTGGTCATGCTCTCTCCTGCTCTCTATGCTGAAAGCAACGTCAGACTAAAGTCTAAATAAATCACCAGCAGGTTTCACTCTATATTTCACAATTCCCAAAACTGTTACTCCTGGATTTTGGTGATAATGGTATCTGCTAAAAGGATGTTAACAAGTTTCAAAAACATATTTACTCTTGCCAGTCAAAGGAAGTTCAGAAATTACTTTTGCACAACACTGTAGCAAATATGGAGGTCACTTAAGTCATCAGTGGACACCTCGTTTTAAAGTATCATGCTGGAAACCATTCCATTTAACAGTTTATAATTTGTAGGTGAAATCAACATCTTAGAAAGCATTTTACAATGATGAATTTTGTCTTTGAAGTAGGCTGGTATTGTTACCTCCATTTTACATAAGGGAAAAGCTGTGCCTCGAGTTCTGAGCACTGGTGTCTCCGAAAAGAGTCTGAAGAATTTGGAGCTAATCTGTAGTACTAAAAACAAAAAGAAAAAAAAGAAAATCCTAGACAAGTTGTTAGAGCACAAGACCTAGGAGTCACTGGGTGTGTCTACATATGGATTTACACCATCTTAAATTTACTGCACAGTAAATTATTGTGCAGTAAGTGGGAATAGGCCAGTGTCTACACATGCAGGTGTTAAAGCGCATTAACGCTGTGTTTTGACTGACTTGGGACTAAAGTTAGCCTCAATTCAGTCCACACATGCAGTGTTACTGTGCAGTAAGGTTTACTGCCTTACTGTGCAGTAACTAACTAGACATAAATTTGATACGTGCATGATGCAGGTATCAAATTTATGCTCAAGTTGGTATAGGTCACCATATTTGCTGCACAGTACGGGCATGCATGTGTAGATGCACGCCCATACTGCACAGTAATTTTGATTACTGCACAGTAAATGCACACATATAGACATGCCCAGTTAACTAAAGCAATACTAACCACCCACAAATAAGTGATATAGAGCTGAACATAGCAGCCCCTGTCCCTCCTGAGCTATGCTTATGTGTTACCTGTACTCCTCAAGGCTCAGTGCAGACATGAGGCAAGCTCCATATAACTTTCCAAATGAGAAAGAAAAAAAAAAGCCAGTGGAAAACTGTGAACAAAGCCCAATATTTCAGATTCCTGATCTACACTCTAGATCTCAAACCCTCTGTTACATCAGGGCTACAGGTTATACAGAAGGGACAGAGTAGGGAGGAAAGGGGGCAGGGTTCTAAAGGAGCATTATACATCTACCCTAATCAAAATGGGATCAGAGGAAGAAAAAGTTGAGGCATTGTGGGTTAGGATACATGGAGGTTGAGGGGAAAGGGACTGGGTGGTGGGGGTCTGCTACAGACCACCACATCAAGAGGAATAGCTAGACTTGGAATGATTGAGGCAGCTCCCAGAGGCCATATAGTCTAGGGATGTGGTTGTCATGGGGGACCTAAACTGCCCTGACATCTGTTGGGAGGAACAGTCAGCCAAATCCAACCGTTCACGTAGGTTCTTAACCTGAGTGTAGAACCTTCACCTAATGCAGGAGGTATATGGTCCCACTAGGGGGAATGCCTTACTGGACTTGGTGTTGGCTATGGGAGAGGACCTGTTAAGGGAGCTGCAGATTCATGGTCATCTTGGGGACAGTGACCACCAATCAATTGAATTCACCATATGGCATAGGGTGGGTAAAATAACTAGTAGGGTGGAAGTGCTTGACTTTAGGAAGGCTAACTTCAGTATGCATAGGAGTCTAGTCAATGATGCACTGCAGGACAAGAGTATCGGTGAGATGGAAGTCCAAGAAGGGTGGTCGTTTCTAAAGGAAGCGATCCTTCCGGCACAGAGGGAGACTATCCCAGTACGAGGGAAAAGGGGGAAAGGAGCCAAAAAACATCCTTGGCTAAACAAGAAAATCCAGGGGATCCTAAGGGCAAAAAAGAAGGCATATAGGCAATGGAAGCAGAGGGAAGCTACCAAGGAGGAGTACTTACTTGGCCTGCACTTGCAGGGAGGCAGTTAGAAAAGCCAAAGCAACTACAGAGCTGAAGCTGGCAACACAAATTACGGACAACAAGAAGTCTTTTTTTTAGGTATGTAGGGGGTAAAAGGAAGGCGCGGGGCAGCATAGGACCCCTACTGAACAAGATAGAGGATGCAGTACAACAAGGACAAGTGCAGAGTGCTGCACCTAGGGCACAAAAATATCCAGTACACCTACTGGCTGGGAACGGACCCTCTCAGCAGCACAGAAGTGGAAAGGGATCTCATTCATAGTGGACTCCAAGACGAACATGAGTTGTCAGTGTGACAAAATCATCAGCAAAGCTAACTGCACTTTATCATGCTACAACAGATGCATGACAAATAGAATCAACGAGGTGATACTTCCTTTCTACGAGGCATTGGTCAGACCACAGTTGGAGTACTGAGTCCAGTTTTCAGTACCGTACTTCAAGAAGGATGCAGATAGACTTGAGAGGGTCCAGAGGAGGGCCACTCATATGGTTAGGGGCTACAAGTACAAGCCCTAAGAGGAGAGACTAAGGGACCTGGACCTCTTCAGCCTCCACAAGAGAAGGCTGAGAGGTGATCTTGTGGCTGCCTACAAACTCATTAGGGGGATGCAGTAAGGAATCAGAGATGCTCTGTTCACCAGGGCACTTCTTGGGGTAACAAGGAACAATGGTCACAAACTGCCAGGGAGCAGGTTTAGGCTGGATATCAGGAAAAACTTCTCCACAGTAAGGGTGGCCAAAATCTGGAATGGGCTTCCAAGGGAGGTGGTGCTCTCCACCTTGGGGGTCTTTAAGAGAAGGCTGGATAGGCATCTGGCTGGGATCATCTGACTCTGCCTAGGCAGGGGGTCGGACTTGGTGATCTGTTGAGGTCCCTTCTGACCCTAGCATCTATGAATGAATCTATGAATCTTCTTCTGATCTCTGTTGACTATGTACATGCTGGAATTTCTTAAGCACTCACTGGCTTCTATTCCATCCAAGAGAACACAAAACAACGGCAGAATTTCCTTATGCCTGAAGAAGGGTGTTTGTGCCTGAAGGCTTGCAAAGAACAATTTTTCCAATTATTTAGTTGGTCTAATAAAAGATATCATATATATCCCCAAAAATCTTGTCTGCCTTAATCACACATCCACATTTTTCAAAAGAAAAAAAAATAAGGATGAACTAGAGCAATTAGATTTTGTGAGGGATACTGAGCTTCATCTATATCTTTAACCTCATTGATAGCCCTTCACATTTTATTACATGATAACTACCACTTTGTGGCAGGGATTGAAATGGAGCATTGGGGAGATAAAGTGATAAGGTGACAGTGAAAAACTGTTTATGTAAATTTTAGCTGCGTTGGCTTCAGTGGAGCTCATTTATACCAGCAGAAGACCTTGCTTTTCAATAAAGCCTTCAGTAAAAAAGACTCTAAAAAAAGCAGGGACACTTTTTTTGTTTTGCAAATGGTCTTAATATATAGTTAATTTTCTATTAGAACTGATCAGAAGCTTTCCAATGAAACAAAGCTTTGTCAGAAAACTTTGCTTCATTAAGCCCCAAACATTTTTGTTCAAAACATCTTTGATCATTTAACTTTTGTTGAACCCCAGGGCAGAGTTCCATTGTCACCTTGGATGACTGCCCCATGCTAGCCAAACAAATTGGATCTCTGTTTCATACAGTTCAAACTTTGGTGGACTTCATATAGAGAAGGGAAAAATATTTTAAGGGATGAAAAACATGTGATATGATTTTCTAAATTTAGACCCAGCAAAAATGGAATTGGTTTTAGAAGTGGCTTTGTAATGAAAAGTTAAATGTTTTATGGACAGGACCTGGTAGATAATTAAAGATGCCTAGTATTTCCTTAATTTTTCTCTTCACAATTAACCATGTGGTTGCAGTCACGTGAAACAGAGAAAGAGGCTCAATTTTTCCAGTTCCATATTATATTTGTACATATTTTGGGCACGTTTATACGATCTGTCCACTGTGCAGTTGTTACTGCACAGTCATTTAGTACTCACATAACCAAGTACTAAATGACTGTGCAGTAACTGGTGTTACTGTGCAATAGCGTCCTGGTATGGTTGCCACTTGTTACTACTGCGCAGTAACACTGCATCATGGTTCATGCTTGGTAATGCTACTGCACAATAGCAATGAGCTGCTGCGCAGTAAGCGTCTCAGGTAGATGTGCTCTTTGAGTCAGAGACAGTAAAAAAGTCTGTTAGTAGAACAGCATGTTACAAATGTACAATCATTTATAGGACAATAAGTGTCAATTAGGTATGTATTCCATCCAGTCAAGTACAGTATCAGCCATCTACTGGAGAACAAGTGAACTTCGACTCATCTCTTTCTTTTGTAATATCCGTGTGGAAGAGAGAGTTTTTGCTTTGGGTTTATGTTAGGGAAAACAGTAGGGCTGTGCGAAATTTTGCGAGTTGTTTCATTCTGACTGTTTCGAGCAATTTCGAGGTGAAACAGCAAAATTGGAACAAAACAAAAGCGGTCAAAATAGCCCCGAAACAGAATGAGGCTTGTCAAAACGTTTGGAAAATCAAAACATTTTGACCATAGGCTGGGGATGGGAAGTCAGTCCAGCTGGGCTGCTTTCCCATCACCAGCGCAAGATCCAGCAGGGGACCGGAGGCAGCCCAGCTGGGCTGCTTTCTGGGACCACCTGCTACATAGCGGTGGGAGCAGGAGGCAGCCCAGCTGGGCTGCTTCCTAGGGCCCCACACTACATTGTGATATAGCACGGGACCCTGGAAAGCAGCCCAGCTGCCTCCCGCCCCTGGACCAATCTAGCACGGGGAATGGGAAAGCAGCCCAGCCGGGCTTCCTCCCTCCCTGGCGTGATGTAGCTGGGCTGACTTCTCAGCCCCAGCCCCAGCAAAACTCGAAACAGTGTCAAAACAACCTTTCTGTTTCGATGGAACAGAATGGAACAGCTGTTTCAACCTGAAATGAAATTCGAGACGAAACACTGTTCCCTCAAACTGCTGAAACTCAAGGCAAAATGGAACGGTGCCATTTTGCACAGCCCTAGAAAACAGGTCTTGATCTGTACCAGTGGGTATTACCTCAACACAAATAAACAATATCATAGAACCAAAGTATTTGGGACTTTTGACTTGCATTGAAATGCAGTAGTGCAGTTTGCAACTGCCATAAGGTCCATAGCAAAAGTGCTCACATCATGGCCTACTCAGATTCTAACAAATCTGCAAATTATGGAACCCAAGCAAAAGAGGGCAGTGCAAGAAGCACTATTGGAATATGCAGATGTACTCAGCCTTGGAAATTATGACTTAAGATATACAGGTTTAATAAATCACTAGATTAATACTAGCAATACCAAACCTGTTAGTTAGTGGCCTAGAAGAGTACCCATCCATTTCCAGCATTAGTCTGATGAGCAGCTGCAAGATATGGAGGAAAGAGGCATCATTAGGCCCTCTGTCA